TGCTAAAAACTTTTTTAAAAAATTCCTATAAATTGATTATTTTTTTAAGTTAAAAATAAATTGAGAACAGATCCCAAAATATTTTAAAAGGTGGCTACAAATAATTCTTGCTATTTCATGTTATTTCTAATTTTACTATTAAATGCTTTAACACGTCTAACTATTAGTGCTGGCTATTTCTTCATCCTTAGCATTTTCAACTCCCAATATTAAAAAAAATCATTTTCTTGTTATATAACAGGAACTGTAATTTGTTAAATGATGATACCTGAGACTAACATGACAATGCAACATACCTCAAACATGAAAGTGTCCACTTCTTCTCGAATAGCCTCATGGCTTAGCTTGTTCCCTTCATCATCCATCACATTTAAAAGCAGGTCGAGAAAGGCCTTGCGTTTCCTCTTGGAGAGGGTCGTGCCTTTGTCATCACTTTTACCTTCTTCATCTCTCTTCATTTCATTGGCCCGTTCCTTGATGACCTGTATGATTTAAATGATCACATGCTTTAGTGTAGAATTTGATATGGCCTAATTATCCATTTTCCTGTGAAAATATACTTGCTCCTTTAATTGATTTTTTTCTAAGCCTTTCCTGTTCTGTTTCATTCAACAGCAACTTAGGTTTTTGAAAAAATATAGTAAAGTTTTCTGTGAACATTTTTAGGGCGTTATTTGATAAGGATTTTAAAAACAAATTTAATGTCAGACAAATACATAATTTCCAAGGACTATTTTTACAGCCTTTCCAACATGGGAATAGAGTAGTAGTCTCCTGAATAGGGCCGGAGTGAGTTGAAAGAGCTCATGAGAAAATTTGGGTAGTGGAGAGCACACAATCTATACTAATAAAAGGGAAATATGCTAATTAGACTGGGGCAACTGGCCATCTTCCGGATGTCCGACTTCCTTCCAAACAAAGCTGTGGTGGTGGGGGCCGAGGTAGAGGCAGTTGGGGGCAATCAGGTAGGCAGGAGACAGCATTTAGGAGTAAGATCAGGTTGGCAGGGGAGGGGACTTGGGGGCGACCAGGCTTGCAGGGGAGGGCAGTTGTGGATGACCAGGTGCTGCAGGGGAGGGCAGTTGCAGGTGATTGGGCCTAGAGGAAAGGGCCATTTGGGGCTTCCATAAAGGAAGGGGATAGTCATTGGGGTGACCTGGCCATCAGGGTAGGGCAGTTGGGATGACCAAGTAGGCAGGGGAGGGCAGTTGGGGCAACCAGGCTGGCAAGGGAGGGCAGTTGGGGGTGACCAGGTCAGCATGCGAGGACAGGTGGAAGCATTAGGCAGGCAGGCAGGTGAGTAGTTTGGAGCCAGTGGTCCTGGATTGCAAGAGAGATGGCTGACTATGGTATTAGACCTAAACCGACAGTCAGACATCCCCCGACGGGTCCCGGATACGAAAGGGTGTAGGCCAGGCTGAGGGTCACCCCCTTGTGCACGAATTTTGTGCACTGAGCCTCTAGTCATTATATAATAGATTAATTATAGATTAATTACATGTTGTATTAGAGAAAGGAATCACCCTGTACGCTTGCCGTTCCTTCAACCTAGAATGCTCTTGCCTCAGAAGCCAGCATGACTAGCTTCCTCCCTAGTTGTAGATCTCCACTGCCCACTGTCACACTGTCAGGGTCACTGCTACCCTAGTCTCTAGCACTCACTCTCTTCCTAAGCCTGCTTTACATTTTTTTTCCATTTCACTTACTACTTGGCATTGTATTTGTTATTGAGTGACTTTCTCCTCCAACTTCAATGTAGCAGCAAATTTGTCTTTATTCATTGATATATTTCCAACCTTAGAACACTGCTTGGCATTTTAAGAATGTTCATCAGGTATATGTTGAATGAATAAAAGAATGAAAGCCCAGAAGCTTAATTTGGTTACACATTTCAACTTTCTCCTCTTTTTGGACAAATGTCCAAACCTGCTTCTGCTTTGAATGAACAGATGACAAATTCCATAATGGCAAGCATCATGTCTTCTCTTTGATTCTTGGTGGAACCCCTAGTGCCTGGCACTCAGTAGGGAATGTACACTAATAAAAAAATATGTAAATTGGTTGTCACTCCACTGCACCCACCAGCCAATCAGGATGAGTATGCATAGATGGCGTGTTCATTTGCATACACAGACGTAAAGTGAAGACTGAAGGCTCTGAGCGAAGACTGAAGAGGCTTAGCTTCTCCGCTGGGGCTGGAGCGGAGAAGCCAAGCCTCGCTGCAGCCGGAGCAGAGAAGCCTAGCCCTGAGGCGTGGTTGCTCCGCTGTCAACGGGCCAAAGGCCTGGGTCACGGGTGCGGGCAGCCAGGGGAAGGAAGGTGTATTGCACAAATCTTCTAGCAATGGGCCTCTAGTTTTTTTATATTAGCCATCCAATTTGAAATTCATCCATTATTGATGATGATATAAGTGCATGAAATTGGAAGACAAGTGTAATTATACCCATAAAATAAAATCTGTTCACCGTTCACATATTGACAGGCAATTATTCTATACTTCACTGACAGCAGGTCACTCCAACATCTCATTCATCTAACATCTAGGGACTCTAACTACTTGATCTTTTGGTGGAGGCAATACCTCATTTTCAGGAAGCAATGCCATCATATTTTAAACTAACATTACAGCAAAGGATAAATATATTTACTTTGGCACTTTTATCAGTACACTTAAATTACAATGCATGCTTTTAATTAAAGTTTGCCTTTTCATAAACATACTTTTAACACAAACCCAAACTATATTCTGGAACATTACTATTTCCTTGTCATTAACAATTACATAGTAATATCTAATTAATTTTTATCATTTCCAGTTTAAGAGACTGCTATAAATGCCCTTCGTCTTAGAAAACTATTGCCTAATCCAGCCATGGGCAAACTATGGCCCGCGGGCCGGATTTATTTGAAATGAATAAAACTATTGAAAAAAAAGACCGTACCCTTTTATGTAATGATGTTTACTTTGAATTTATATTAATTCACGCAAACACTCCATCCATGTTTTTGTTCTGGCCCTCCAGTCCAGTTTAAGAACGCATTGTGGCCCTCGAGTCAAAAAGTTTGCCCACCCCTGGCCTAATCCAAACATTTTTCAGAAGATTCTTATAACACAGTTCCCAGCGTTTTATTTTCTTAGCATAGCACCCAGTTTGTTAATAAACTATCATAGCACATCTCACATTTTGTAATTATTTATTTATAGACAATCTCCCCCAGTAGATTAACCTCCCCCAGTAAGGAACATTAATGACCTTTAGGTTCGCTCCCATCCTTCTTTAAAGAAAAGGTACAAAACATCATGCCAGAACCAAATCGTCTTCATTCTTCGATGTATCAAATCACTCATCCTATAAACAGGTTGCAAATGTATCAGCTGATATATCAAAAATGTGCATTGCTTGTGTACCTATTTGGTGCCTGGTCTCAATGAGGGTAATACGTGGCAACAATGGTAATTCATCTTAGCAGCTAAGAGCTCTATGCTCTATGCTCAACAATGAAGGCATGGGTTATTACACATCCAAGGAAGCTTAAAAATTAAATGGGTCATACAGAGGAATGAAGAATCCAGTACAAAACACCTTACTAGATGGCCATCTGACCTCTCCTTCTATTTCTCCAGGAAGAGTTCCAGACCTCCCTGAGCTGCCTGTAGCTCTTATACCACAGGGTGGGATGAAATCTGCCTGTTTAATGTCCACGCATTTTCTTGATCACTCCTCTGGCTATCCTCTTCTCCAGGAAAGTGCCCCTCTGTCACATCCCTGTCCTGAGTCCAGCCCTCAACATTTCCAGTGACAGAGCAGAAAGACCTAGACATGATCTCCTCCTTTGAGAGCAGCTTACAGGTCAGTTCTGAAGAGCGGCCTTTCCTGGTCACTCAATCTGGGGGCCCTATTGCAGTTTTCTTCTCGAATATCAACCAACTTAATTTTTCTTTGAAGCAATTATTACAGTTTATAAGTTTATACGTATTTGTTTTGATGCTTGTCTCCCTGCTATTCTGTTCTGAGGACCACTATAAAACTAGTCAGTATCTTGTGTAATGAATGCCAGATTATATATGCTAATATGTGTTAAAATAAAATGGGCAGTGGACTCAAAGACAGAATTCCTTATATCAAACCCTGGCCCTGCCTTTTCATAGCTGAATAATCTCAAGAAATTTTTCAAAATAAATTCGACTATTTCAATTAAAAAATAACACACACTAAGTGCAGAAAATATGGGGAGAGAGAATTAATAACAATACAAAAAACAAGAAAGAGGAGCATATAACACAAAATAATAATTACAGCTAACATTATGGAAAAATATCTATAATTTTTTATACCTAGTGGTTATCATGCTAAAATATTGTTTTTATCATTATTTTATCAATAAGCATCATAATGTAATTTTTTAATATATCATAAAATAATCATTTAAAATTATACCATAGCCTGGGTGTGCCATAATTTATAAAATAAACCCTCCACTGTTAAAATACATGCTTAAATGATTAGGTTAATTTTTAATGCAATATTTCATTGTGAAACAATGAAAAAGATACAACACAGACAAAAAACTATTAGCGACATTTTTAAAGCTTGAAAAAATGCCAGAAAGTTGACTAAAGTGAGTAGTCAGGTTTCTGTCCTCATGTACCTTTAACTCTATGTTAAAGATGTGAGAAATATCATGGATTTAGAGATGTTCAACTGTTTGCATACCAGATGCCAGGGTGTTTGGTCTTATGGGAAAGAACTTAGAACTTTCTAAATTCTTTCTGAATGCATATGCCCTCTGTTACAATAGTTATCTGAAAGACTCATAGACCACTTTATCCTCTCTGCAAATATCTACAGTATAAAGTTCAAATGCTTTACGATGACATACATGGCCCTCATGATCTGGACTTCCCTACATTTTTACCCCATTTTCTTGAACCCAGGGGTGGTAGTAAAAACCAGTAAGGCCAG